AGTGAAAGACCATTATAGGCTATTTTATCTGTCCTGAGGTAGGGAGATGATGATAACAAGGTGGAGCGGATTTGTTTGTTTCTGATCATGACTGTGATCAGCTGTGGATTCATATTTTATTCTTTAGGCGATACAGTGCAACTCTCTTAACTAATACATTAAAGGATGATTTGGTGAAGGTAAAAATTCCAGTGTTTCACAGTGTCCATAGGGTTCTCATCAAAATTTCCCTAATAAATTTTAAACTGTGACTGTTTTCCATTGCTTTTTCTTGTATTAATGAGAATCATTATATCTTGGATGATATTTCTGCTGAACACAGTCTTAAAGTCTATCGTACCCTTAGTGTTAAGGTTAAGAATTGTGTTGAACCCACTGAATCATAACAGCTAGTGCCATCTGAGATCATACTGACAAACAAGCTTGCTGTTTTGTTTTGTAGTTTTATGTGTCTGATACAGGGATAAAGCTGAGTTCTGACCAGTTTGAAGGGCTTTCATATGACTGAATTTCTTATAGAGCATTCAGTTTAGAAAAATGGACATTATATGTTGGAACTCTTCTGATTTTCTGTAACAAAAATCATAATGAAAAGTCTTATTTCAGGTCAGCTTACCTCAGCTGTGGGTTGGGTTGTTTGGTTTTTTTGTTTTATGGGACTTGAACACCTTATTTCTTATACAGTTAGAGGTAAACTGCATTTACCAACCTTATTCCTATATAAGAAATGCACTATGGGGTTAGCTGTCGCTTGCTATGAGACCAGGAAGACATTGTCTCCTACTGAGCCATTTCAACTACGAAAGTTGGAAGCTAGTATATAAATTAAAATGGGGGTTAAACTACTGTTAACAGATAGTAGCCTTTTCAGGCAATAGACTTACTAGGCAAATACGGTTCTGTACTGATCTCATTCTCAAAGGAACAATTTGTGATGCCTTCAACAAACCAAAATACTTTTTGTTCCACGGATTTTGAAATTACTTGTGTTAATAAAGACGTTATTACAGAATGTTTTTTATGAACATAACTGTTAAAATGCCTGTTGTCTGAAAAAAATAATAATCAGTATTTCTGAAGTTTTTCCTATTTTCCAAATCAAAACCACAGGCTGATAAGTTGCACTTCCTTGTTAGTGAAAAATTCAGATCTTGTTCATCCCTTAAAAATCCATTGCTTGGTGTTCACAAATAAGCAATCATATATAACTGTTGAATGAACATGTGACTTTAGGAGGCAAAGCTTTAAATTTCTTCCATAAAACTAATGAAATTCTTCAGTTTTTAGACATTATTTACAGGGTTACAGGGTATACCATTTTTATAGCTACTGTGTTATACTGCATATTTTTGTAGTATATTGAGTCATAATCTTGGGCTGGTCACACTATGCTGTGAAGGTGCTGCAAAATTCTCTTAAGCATAAGGAAGAATATGAGTGTGTGATGTGGTGGCTGTCAGTACTGTTGGTAGGGATGCACCTTGAGAAAAATCCAACTATTTAAATATTTGCCTCTGACATTTGCTTTTTTGTGGGTTTGTATAGCGTAAAATATCTATTGTATAGTATAAATCATCTGATCAGCGCTATACTTTCTGATTTTCTCAAAGCTTATTCCATGCAAAGCATAACATACTAATCATTAGCTTTTTACACATTTGCTACATTTATTTTATAAATTTTTTTTGGTGTTTATGCTTTTTGAATTCTGTTTAACATTAAGAATTAAATTGTGTTCTGCATTAAAGTGCCATCAGGGAAGATGAATGAAAGTTCTAATCTAAATAGTATCTCTGTAAGGGCAATTTCTAATTTTTATAGGAATGTTAAAACGAAGAAATCAAGTTCTGTATTTGCAGCATTTCTTGACGATATGCTGTAAATTGTACAGCTGTTCTTCCTCTGTATGGATTTTGTAGTACTTGCAGCAATTTATAGGTCCAGAGTCCAGCTGCTGGAAGTCATTTATTCTCAGTTCTGTATTAAATCTATCATATACAAATGCATTAACATTCAGTACAGAGACAAGGGCTTGCGGCTTTTTCTTTCTTGCTCTGAGTCACTGTCCTGTAAGTGTTTGCAAGGTATGCAGAAAACGTTAAAAAACTTAAACTGATATACAAGGAAAACAAAAGTAAACAGTATTGTCCATGATGGATACTCAAAACCAGCTCACTTTGCAGTTTAAGCTGAACAGCAAAACTAAAACCTACTGTTAACATTTCTGAAATTGGTAATGCTAATAAGCTTGTTTTGATGGATTAGCATGTCAGTTCCATTTGCTTGAGTGCCACTCTTTACGCATGTCAATTGTACGTGCCTTCATGTTACAGGAACTTAATATTCCCTGTGGTGACTGAATTGCGTGCACCTTAAGAGAGTGTATGAGGCTATGCCATTGATACGCTTGATTTGGCTTGTTTTAGTTTTGGATTTTTTCATTAGGAAAAAGGAAACTAGCTTGTTTTAAATATTTGAGAAGCATTTATAATGAATGTTTAAAAATAGTTAAACTGTAAACTGGAGTTTGACAGAAGAATAGGAGCAAGGGCCATGAGTAATTATTGAGTATATATAATCTGTGAGGAAATAGCAGTTGGAACAGGATGTCTGATATGAGTCATGTACCTGTTTGTTGTTGATAATTTCACATCTTTTGTAATGAGATAGTAAATCTGGGAAAATTGAATCACATCTTTGTTAGCCATCTCCTCCTCTTCAAGATGTGATAAGACCTTCTGGAGGTTCCTGACTTGAGGGCCCTCTCCCTGATGAATGTTTTCCTGCGCTAGTTCCAGCCAAGCTCATTGATGACAAGTGTAACCATAACTGGACTAGGAGAAAACCTTTGTGAGCGACTGCTGAACTTAAAAATTGTTACATTAATTCTTACAGGGAAAAATTGCTTTGCTACCTTTCAAAATCAGCTGCTACTTCTAGGAGACTGATAGTTAACAGAACAGGATATTAGAAGTGTGGTGATCAAATCCTGAAATAATACAAAAAGAAGTGACAGCAAGGTGGTGGTCTATCATCTGTAACTGGGCTAGAAGTTGCTGAAGTATGAGACACACAGAATACTGTGTAGTAGTTGCAATCTGATGCAACAAAGTCATCAAAACCAACCGTATGTTACCTAGCTGAACAGCAAATCCCTAAAAAAAAAAAAAAAAAGGAAATGAAAAAAATTGGGATATTAACTAGTCATGGGCAGTTTTTGATACTTTGTATAAGATAACTTTGCTTTTCTGTGGTATTATATATCAGTTTGAATATGATTAATAGTAAATGGGTAGAGATACAGAGAGAAAGGTGCAAAGCTTCACTTCTAGTGGGAACCTCAGTCTTATAACTCTGTTTCCTGCTTGCTGTGATTTGACCAAAAATTACAGTTTTATAAAGACAGTCCAGAGTCTTCTTGGAGGCAAAGGGTACTGCTTAAGGCTTAGTCCTATGATAATATTGACACAACTTTGTACTGTAACACTTCACAGTTTGTGTATTCATGCATAAGGCTGATGCGAGCAAACTCTGCTTGCAGTTTGTAGCCATACACAGTATATATTTTGTGTGCATATATCTATATATACTCTGTATACACACTGTAGTATAGTTTAGCACGAGACACTGAGAACTGCTGGTGACTGGTGAAGTCAGAAAAATAAATCTAGAGGCCAGTTAAGAATTTTTTAGTAGAAAGTTAACTTGGAATTCCTGAAACACACACACATACTGTGTTGCTGCTTTGTAAAGATAGGTTCCTATTCGTGTGTCCAGGCCTAGTCATCCTGTAAGATACATCTTTTATTTTAAAATGGCTTCTGTGGTGCCTGCAAACTTTGTTGTTTTGGGGATTGTCAGTGTTTCAGCACTGTCTATCGGAGAAGTGAAATGAGAAAGGGAAAATTTTTTCACTTCTGGAGAGTAACATTTTATTTCGTCTACCTGTTTGGACTGGAGTCATCTCTGGAAACCTATGTATTTAAAAAAAAGAAAAGCAAAATGCAAGCAAACTGTCTTTGAGAATACATGCTTTCTCTATGAAGGATCAGATGAGATTTTTAAGAACAGTGAGTTTCCATCTCTGACCCTGAGAAGATTTAATAGTTTGCTTTCTAGAGTACTTAAATCTAACAGTGACTGGTGAAGGTAATGGCAGGATTTTGATTCAGTCAATGAGAAATGCACAAAGGTGTTTTTAAACAAATTCCTTTGATTCAGTGCTGTTCTGAGTTTTTTGGCGTACCTCCTTAGTGTTGTTCAACTTGCTGTGAATGCATGCAAGGTGACCTTTTACGGTCACCAGCTTTATGATCTGGTCATGTTTCGTGTGTGCTAACAAAGCCATCATCTTAAGTCAGGTTTTTCCTGATGTGTGTTTGTGTCTGTCTTATGTATGGGTACAGTCACTTGTCAGTTCAGATGTATAGTAGAAGCCTGATGTGGAGGAAAGGGGCCATTTGATCATGCTGTTCAACTTCAGTAAACTTAGCATTTGGTAGGGTAGGCAGGGTCAGTTTTATGATAGAGTTTATAACAGGTGATCCCTGCTGATGGTAAATGCTTATCTGTTCAGAAAAAGGTATTGTAGGGGTGCAGTGAGGGCTGGCCGCTCTCTGAGGCGGGAGCCTCGCCAGCCAGGGCCCGGAACCACTGCCCTGCCTCAAGGCAAGCCGGGCATGCCAGGTGATGGTAACCAGGCTCAACCAAGAGCCCAGACCATCAGAAAAGTTTGTGGTGATGAGGCAGGTCAGAGGACAAGCTGGGAAGTCAGTCCATGGATCAGGGTGAGGGTCAGGCCTGGTGAGGGTAACCAGGTGAGAGACAGCCCAGTGGTATCGCAAAGCACTGCGGCAACAAGGCAGGACTGAGCTCAGGTCAGTCTGTGGGCTGAGGTTTGGATCAGGGGCCCATGGCCAGGTAGGGGGGCAGCTGTGGCTGAGCTGGAGACCAGGACTCCTACAACATAGCTCAGACAGGGACTGAATGTCCTGGAGTGAGCTGAACTGGGGCGCTGGGGCCTAAGGGTGAGGGGTGGATGGAGCCCCCAGCCAAGGCAGGGTAGGGCCTTCGAGGCCTAGTAGTGCTCTCAGGGCCCTGGCAGGCATAAGCCTTTAAAACCTTTGTGAAAGTAGTATTATGTTGGAGGAACTCATGCAGCTGGAGAGCAATGTGGCAGTCAGTATCAACCCCCGATCTCTTTCATATTCTTGTTTGTGAGAGATTTTCCTTCCACTGAGTAAGACTACACAGTACTTACAAAGTATGTATACTGGAGCCTTACCCAGATAACCAGTGCATGAGCGCACTCGGAAGAGTTACAGCTTTGTTATTCTTTGATTCATCAAACATACACAATTTGGCAGTCACTTCTGACTGAAAGCTGAACATTAAAGCCCAAGTTTAAGCTGAGATAAAAGGTAATGCTTTTGTCCCACAGCCCTCTAGTAGTATGAAATTGTGGGGGTTTGTATGTCTCTGTTTTTCCTGGATACAGAACTCGGTTCAATGACATCTGTCTCTGCAAAGAGTGAGCTCGAGGACTGCAGCGTGCTTTATTTGAAGCTGCCTTTGTGAACCTCCTGTTGACTGCAGCCGGTGCAAAATATGGCAGTGTGATTTATACCCACAGTGATGCCTGGATCCCATGAGTTGTGCTGATATGGATACTCAGAGAACAAGAGCTGGCTTCCTGGCGTATTGTGCTGTCAAACCTTACATGTATTAAGTGTGATAAAGAACAGAGTTTGGTGTTTTGTTTTTTTTTTCCTTCTTATTGAAGTAGCGCAACCGAAGCTTAACTGTGAAGGTAGTTTTCAAGTTTTCCATTCAATGTAGTGTTGTCCATTGACCATGTTTGGCTGGAACAATCCACAGTTGGGAATCTGTGACTATCCATTCATTTTCCATTCTTATCAGGGACAATCAGGTATGAGGAAGACATAATAGTATGTCCCAGGGGGGCTGGGACAGCAGCCTGGGGAAGTATGCTATGCTAGGCCTCTTAGATTGGCAGTGGTTGCAGACAGGATTATCTTTGATCTAAACTAGTCTCATATAATGAATCTAGAGCTCAGTTGCTGACTTAGTATGGAAGAACACATCCCAGACTAGTGGAAATAGTCCACTAGTCTAAAACCAGGTTGGAATAAGAGGAAAGTGATAAGCTGTGAAGAAAAGGAAAAATAGGCTAAAGCTCAGTAATGTAGCTGGATGAACTACAGATGCTCAGATATTATGGCCTGGAGTAGTAGTAAGAACTGTTTTGCAGAATTTCTTTGCTGTAGTTCTATTTGTCTTCTGCCTCTGTGTAGGTGGAAGATGATCCATCCATACTTGTAACAAAAAGTATGGTCGCAGTATGTGTTTTCCTGTTCCTTTTTGTTCTGGTGCCATGTTTTATAGATATTTCAATCCTATATGTACATGCTTTTCCCTGTATGATTCTTTTGCATGCTTGAGTAACACATTGTCTTGTTGCGTTCTGTGCCAAAGTTGATGTTGTATATTTGGGCAAGGGTTAGTACATATAGAGCACCTATTTGAGTACAACTTTCAGTGCAGCCAGCTTTGACACACTGAATGCTCAGACCTGTAAAAGTCTATGGTCTTAGTTTGGAAACTTGTCTATAAATGTGCAATTCATTCAAATTTAGCACAGTGCCCATCAGATTATTTAGAACTGTGATGGTTTGATAGTTCATAGGAGAATGTAGTTCTGAAGTGAGATCTATCAAAGGATAACTGAAAAGAAACTTGCTTGCTTGCTTGTGTTTCCTAGTGGTATGTTCTTGAAAGTGTTGCTTTCATGTATTTCCTAGTGGTATATTCTCTTTGACAAGAAAATAGGAATCAGACAGTTTCTGTATTTTTCTCTCCAGTGGAAAAAGTTTACGGACTGTGGCTTAACAATCTGTTTGTAGAGACTAACTTCCTTTAGAGAACTAGTTATGTTGTTCTGATAATCCACATATGCAAAGATTTTATAGAGAAATCACTCAATTGTAGGTTTTTTTTTCCCATTTTTGCGGAAGACCAAACTCAGATTTAACTGTTTCTTCCTGTTCACATGAAAAATCTTGAGGAATTAATTCTTCATCAAGGTGGAAAAGAACAGTGGCCCTACAGTTTCTTTTGGGACTGTCCAAGGCTCACTACTGAACAACAAAGTAGTGATAAATTTCAAGGGTCTAAGCATTAGGGTTTTTTTTAAAGTGTTATTGGACAAAAGGGAGGCTCTTCATAGGTGGATTTACCAATACCATTATTTTGAAACTCTATGCAATATTGTGTGAAACAAAACATTATGTGTTTTAAAAACACTAACACTTGGGTTTTTTTATTTTTTTGGATTGTTTCCAGACATGTTTTTGGATGGCATGTTACTGAGTTTGTTGTTACTGGTTTTGTGCTACTGGCTTGCCAGTTTTGGATTTCTTATGAACCCCTTGTTCCTAGTTAGACGGTACTGTTTTAGAGGGAAAAAGTAATTTGGAAGGACTTCTAAGTTTGATTGTTTGCATATGGTGCAGCAAAGCAAGAAATGGTTAAGAATAGTAGTCAGCTAGACTGAAGTGTTGCATTGACTTCCCATGGTATCTCTAGCTCTGTATCTTCTCTGCAGCATAGGAGGAAAGAGGGCATTCTGTTGTATTTTTGGTTATTTGTAGGAAACGTAGATTCACTCATTAGAACAAGAGTCTGTGCTTAAAAAGAAATAACATTTTTGCTGAGAGTGCACTGGATAAATTACCAAGGTTGGAGGTGCAGAGTGTTTTGATTTGCGCACACTGAGCAATGAAGTCATTCTTGCGCGGTGGTGATTCATTTATATATTGGTTTATTTAAAATGTAAAAATATTAATATGCCCAAGAAAATAACTCCGTTTTCTAATTCAGATGATTAGTTGGTGAAACAATTGTCTGCTTCTGTTTAAGGCTCCACCTCCCCTCTCCTCCCTCTCTCTGGGGCGTTCTCCCTCCCTCATTTGTGGTGGGGTTTTTTTTTGTTTGCTTGCTTTTTACTGTATCCCTGAAATTTCCAAGTTAGCCTGCGGAAGTAAGATGCAATGTCCAATGCATATCTTGCAGTAAATGAGATTTTAAAAGCACAGGACAAGTTCATTTAATATTGAATGCTCTTTTCTTCAGCCATAAACTTATAAACTTTATACAGTGAGAAGTGGATACTGTGATGCTGTTGTAAATAATGCATATAGAGCCTGATGCAATGCAAAAGAAAATAATTAGACTTCAGCTTGCTTTAGAGCAGGCTGCGAGCAGCTTTGTATGCACTTTGTTATTCATTCTTCCTTGTGCCTCTTCTCATTGTTTGAAGCTGGTGCCACAGGCTTTTTTTGTTCTGATGTGCTGTGTTCCCTTCCTTTTTTATTTTTCCACGGAATTTAACTGTCTCCTTCACCCAAGCCATTTTGCAAATATCTACTAGGTTTTTTCCAAAGGGAGAAAATGCAGAAGGAGAGCGGGGAGAATGAGTAAAGTCGGATGTGACGAGAGGTTCCTTACAATCCTGATGTTGCCTGTATGACTGCACCAATGTCTGTAACTTTCATCTGTCCAAATAACAGCTCCTGAGCTTGATTCCTAAGAAACAGTTTAAACTGACTTGGTAGCTCTTTTGAGCTGTGTGTTCCTTGTTGTCCGGGCTGGCAGGAGGCAGCAGGGTTTGGAGAACATCTGGGTGGTGAAGGGAGGAACAAAATGAGTGTGGTAAGATCCCCTAGTGCTTTAAGTGTGTGCATAGCAGGGAGAGAGGAGAAACAGGCAGTGGCACTTCACAGAGATGGCTTCTCAAAAGCACTTTTTTAATTTCCAAACCTTCCATGCTTCCCACTTCCCAGAAGTACAGGATTCTCCTCTCTGACCTGCTGCTCCTTTCTGCAGTGTGCTCCAGATATGTGCTGGTGGGGCAGGGAAGCAAACACGGGAAATTTTGTTTAGGTGCAACAATCACAGAATTCCCTGCTTGATCCTGTCCGCACCTCTGTCCTTTTCTATTGCTTTTGAAGAAAGACAAGTCTGGGAGGAAAGACCTGATTTCCAGGCCAGTTTGCTCATAGCAAAACTGTGCTTAAAACCAAGCAAGATGTGGACAGTACATGGTGCTGGTTATAAGACACAATAAAAATTGAGGTTGTTTTACACAGACTTTCATTTCTCCTGAGATAAAAATGATTCAACTGTAAGTACTGTTGTAGCCCATTTTCACATCTTTGACGAATTTAACTTGATGTTTCCTTAAACAGAGTAGAGATAGAAAGAAATTGTTTATACATTACTTGTCAGCTTTGAAGTGCTTTTGGAAATAAAACGGCATGTTCTTTTGCTGACAGGATTTGAAATCTAGCAACCAGCGAGATGAAATTGCTGCAGCACGTGCATCCCTGAAGGAAAATTCCTCTCTCCTACATTCAATATGTTCAGCTTGCTTGGAACATTCAGATGTTGCATCCCTTACAGCCAGCAAGGATTCAATTTGCAATGAAATACAGAATGCTCTCAATGTAATTTCTAATGCTTCCCAAGGAGTTGGAAATAAAATGGGACAACCTACATCTTGCACAGCTACTCTTGGAAGTGCACTTGATGAGCTTGAGGTACGTAAAGCTGCAAACCTGTGAGACTGCAAGGTTTTTTGAAAAATAGTTTGTTTCATTTTTTAGAAAAAATTAACTACTGCTATCCTAAGTGATGGACCTAAAGGCATTAGAAACTGATGCTGTGCTTAATCCTAGTCTAAATAGTATCACTCTAAATTATTTCATTGGGAGGGATCACTTCCTTCAAAAGAATTTGGAATTAAGTCTTCGTGTAACTGCAGTATTTGACTTCCTTCAAAGAGCAGGCAAGAATATTATTAATGGTGGAGACAGACACATCCTTGAATAAGTGGGCAGAACCCATGAGTTTAGTTTACAAATAACAGTGATTATCACATTATTATTATCAGATGATGGTGATTACTGCTACCTTGACTGCATTTGAACTAGTACAATGCAAGTTAAAGTCCTTTACTCCAAAACTTATCATTGGGATCATTACATAATTGATATAATTGAAGGATTTAGAAACCTAATTATGTTTTCTGCTTATCATTAAAGTGACATAACCAATATGTTTTCACCAATTGTGCATTTCTGCTTCCATTATTTAACCAAATACTTGGAGAAAGTTTTTTCTCTACTCTTGACCTGATCCTAAGCTTTGTGTGGAGCTTTCCCTTTTTTCCATGGCTGCTCTGGGTCTTACCAGTGTTTTTTTCCATTGTCCTGCCAAAAATGGTAAAATACTTCTTGTAGAAGAGATTACGTGCTCTTCATCTGCTGTAACTGATGGGGGCCCAGATCACCAAAAGGGGTGCAAGTTTCTAAACACATTTGCAAGTATGGGGCTTTTTGGTTGTAAATTCTTGGACTTATCAGATCTCAGCTTCGGAACTCCAATATTTTTGATACATTTTCAGGAGAATTGGGGTTATGATGGATGGTAATAGATTTTTGTCTAAAATTTTCAATGAAAGGCTAGAGAAATACATTGAAACCCATCTATGACACAAAGCTTATACTGGCAGTTTATTGATCAAAACTCTCAGTCATGCTCAAAGTTTGATTCTGGCAGGTTCTCCCCCCACCCCCCAAAGGAACAGGCTACAAGTGTATGTTACATACCTTCATCCTTTCCTTTTCACACAGGGTTTTAAAATTATAGTTTCTAATCTATTTTATTAATAAATGGATGAAAAAAGAAACATTTAAGAATAATACATGGTTTGTTACAATGAAACTCCGAATGACAAATTATATACTTTAAATGAGAGCTATTATTTACCAGTTTTACTTACCAATTTTTTAAACAAAATTTGGCAAAAGGATTGCATCTTCTGATTGTAGATGAATTAATCTTGACTGTATGTGAGCAGTAACATTTTAATGTTTTTTTAAAAGTGTAATTAAATTTATTATTGTTTTAAGATGTAAGAATAGTGATAATCACAAAGTTGAAAAAATTATCTTCTGGATTGAATCAGTTTTTATTTGGAAACAGGAACATAAAAGTCTGAATTGTAAAAAGCCATTTGTTTATGGAGTTTTAAATATAGATTTACCTAGGTAACACAAATGGGAATTGAAGCTGTGTGAGTTAGATAAAGCCCAATTTATAGAGCATTTAACTTCTTAAAATTATTTTATGAGTTAGACAGTTGCGCTTTTCTTTTTTTACAGAAAGTTCTATTGGCTAAGGACCCAAAATAACCTTTGCTCTAGCTTCCTGTTGCAAATACAGTGCCATGAAATAGATTGATGTAGTAAATAGTCTGTTGGGAACAAATCTCATTAAATGTTTATAGTGTAGAAATGTATCACGGAGCTTACCCAACAATCTAGTATCTAGGTATTTTGCAATGTCATTCCTGTGCCAGTGCTGGCAGTGTGAAAGTTATTACAGATTTATAGGTGAGGTAACCACCAGTAAAATCAGAGCAGCTAACTCTTAAATCAGTAGATTATCAAGAATTCCTCTTAAAGGCTCCATGTAACTATCATGTCATTCATAAATAAACACAAAATCGTACCATTACAAATTTTATTGCATATTAAGATGTGCATTAAAAAAGAGTGTGTAGGTGCAGGTTATCTAATGCCTTTTACTGGTCTTGCATCCTCTGAATGTAAAGAGATTTCTCACAAAACGATACAGGCCTTGCGTGTCTGACTGTCTTGTCAGCATATTCATCTGATATGTGGTCCTTTAATGACCGTGGCTATCTCGCAGAGCAATTACATATGAGATGTCAAAATACTGTAGATCAGTGCAAAATGTCAGGAAATATAGCCAGGTTTCTGGATACCCATGTTCTCTCTTTTTCATGAATCAGAAGGTAAACGAGGGAGAAAATAATGATCTAATTATTGTAAGTGCTTGCTTATCTTTAAGAGCTAGTGTAGCTGGCCACTGTTTAGCCCTGTTAAAACAAAACTGCAAAACTGCTTGTTGCGTATTTGGTGTCTTCTGATTGGTTGGAAATTGGATCATCTTTTCTGCATAGATCTACTGATCATAAATATTTGATCAAATTGCTTGAAGAATTTAATCTGTGGGCAGAATCTGAAGTCATATTTTCCTGGTTATTATTGCCTAGTTTGTTTTTTCTTTTATTTAGAGCTGAACTGTAGTAGCTTTTTTGCCAGTGCTATTTGTCCATCTTTGCATCAACTTTCTACAAACCGTCTCCTAAAGGAAGGCACTGCTGCTCCTGTTTCATCTGAGATCTGAAGGCAGTTGTTTTGCTAGCTAAATGGCTAATTGGCTGTAGCTTTCATGTGCGTCTCAGTCTTCCACAATCAATGAAGCTGATTCTGTAGTAACACTTGAATATTCTACTTGGCAGGTGTGTTTTAACATTATGATGGACATTGTATGTATAGCATAGCGTTGAGGGTGCTTACCTGAGATATAGGAGTGCAACAGTGAAGTTGCTGCTCCAGTGAATAGTGACTAAGTGGCACAACTCCAGCAGAGGTGAGGTACCACAGAACACTTTGGTATTAAGGACTGTAATGTGAATGAGGGAGATAGTTTAAAGTCTCTAACAAACATAAACCTGTCTTGCACATCATAAGTGAATGTCCTGACCTCTGGATATTGGCTATCTTAGAATGCCTTCCCTTGTCATTCTTAGAAGATCATCCTGGATGAGTCTTTCATATATAAAATTAGCCTGAGATTATCTGTTGGGTATAAATTAATTATATTTCTTAAAAAAGGTAAATATTTAAACATTGATGACTAGTTTTGTGCAGTTTTCCAAATCTGTATTAATATGCTAGCTACTACAGTCAAAGCTTTTTAATTTTCAATTTTGCTGTGTCATTGGATATGCCGAAAGTAATGAGGACCTAGATAATGCAGTCATTAAACACTTGTTATGCAGGAAAACACGGTTCCTACTGCTGAGAACTGTTTTGATTCTGCTTGTAAAGTTATGCATTCTTTTTTATGAGAGGTGACAGCTGAAAGGGATTAATTTCCCTTGCATTTCAGAGTCCTTAATGGCATTCCTTACCACTTACCATTTTCTGTACTGCATGTCCTTAATTTCCTGCAATGCATATTGTGTTTGAGACACGTAGCAACTTAGCTTGCCTCCAGGTAAATTGGGTGCAGTTTTCCTTTGCGTTTGGCCATAATCTCTCTCATCTAAGGAAGCTTAGCAAAGAGAAGAGGAAAAAATGGATGGCCTGTAGTAATACTCTTAATGTGTCTCTAAGTTATCCTTGTGAACAAGTGGTATCTTATTGCCTTCAACCTTCAGAAAAGTGTCTTCAGGTACGTTTTCTTCCTTCTGTGGAAATAGCTACTATAGGAAAGGACACAGGAGTCTTAATGTTTTAATTGCAAGAGGAAGGCTTCTGATGACAACATTAAGAGCTGGATTACTGCTCCTATCATACCTGGCTCTAGGCATTGGCAATTAAGAAGTTGCCTGCAAAAGCAAAATGGGTTCCTGTGCTGTTGCCTGGGAGAGCCAGTCTGGCTCCATCCGCTGCCAGCAAGAGGTCAAGGTATATGGAGATATTTCAGAGTAGGAGAGCTAGCCATTTTTATTCTGTCTGAGCCCTTGTTCTTTTCTTTGGATTTTAGCTGTTGTGGCAGGATCTGCCAGGCCCTGGCAAAATTTCATCCTTTTTTCTCTCTTTCTCGGACAGAGCAAAAGTTGGATTTTTTCTAAGTGTCCTTAGCTGGCTCCAACTTCTCTACTTCTGCAAAAGAGGATGAAAGCAGTGGACTGTCTGTTTCCTTTGCTCTGTCTTGTTAGTGGGCAAATTATTGGCTTTGCTTCTAAAGTTGCATGGGAGATTAAGATTTCCATAATCAACATATTTTTTTTACATCTTTCAGTTAAGAAATAGTTAAGAGATATAAATGGGTTAATATGTTGCTTTTATGGATATACAA